ACATGACGCGTTCAGTTTTTCCAACATTTTGACCATAAATAGTTTTAGACATTGATGATGTTCATATGGTATACGCTTCCATTTTTCACAAGGCAATGTTCAGTGTATGTGAGACAATAACGAGATGGATGTCTCTTATAGCCCTACATTTCATTTCGTTTTGCGGTGGAAAGCATGCACGAAAATGAACCTACGAAAATGATTAAATTGCAACGGTAGGAAAGTGATTTGTGATTTGTAATATGTTGTGCGAAAAAATGTAGCCGCGAAAGCAGTGAAAATTTGTATTCGTCCGACCGGCTCCAGAAAGCGATCATCAACAGCATATTATTCTTTAGAACTATCACCTTCTAAGTACTGTCGGTTCAGATCGATGCAGTCATCGTTAAGCAGATCAATGATTCACAGCAGATGAGGATATATGAAAATGGCTTAGCCACTGCCCAATAAGAGGCCAAAGGTCATAGATAATGATCCTGAATATTTCGATCATTAAGCTTTAAGGAGCTATGCAAGGAGCATGTTTTCATTAACATTGAATTTTATCAAAAAGTGTACGGAATTTATTTGCGCACCTGATACTTAAAGTCTAAATGAATTTCAATCAATTCAGCTGAGTCTTAACTTAATTAGCATAGCATAGAAAAGATTATTTCATTTAAATTATCTTAACCTAGTTTAAATTCACTCAACTCACTGTAGCTTGAACCAATCTAATATAACTTTACATAACTCATCCGAATCTAACTTAACAAAAGTTTTTTCTTTTTTTTTTTTATTTCTACATGAATAAATATTTTCTCAATTATATTTTTTCCTTTGTTATATATTTTAGCATTAACCGAGCATAACATTTATTGAAATAACCTTGAAACGAATCTTGGATGCTCACCAACCCAAGGTAAATAAGAGAAAAAAAGAAGCAAGAAGTTATAGTTGGCCCAGAACGAATTCGTTTATACCCACAACTAGATTGTGCATAACGCATCTATGTTATATATGCATTTGCATGTTTCTGCTTGTGTACAATATCTAGACTGGACCACGTACTTCATGTACATCACACTCTGTGTAATTGTGAGCGAATTCCTGATCCAACTTATTATAAAACGCAGTTTTCACCTTATTATGAGACCTTTGATAGGCAAATTGTAATTGCTTGAAAGTTATAGTATTGTTAAGCAATACTTGAGAAAAAAAAAAAAACCAAATATCGAATGTTGCAGCAAACCTAATATAAATTTTAAATATAGTTTTTTTGGTTTAGTTCTCTAGCTTTTATGGGCCTTCCTATTAGCGTTTCATGCGATATTCAAACTCAGCTTGTGGTCATATAAAGTAAGAGCTCGAGTTCTTAATATTATTTCGTGAAAAGTTTAAAAATTTCACAGACAAATAGTGAGTGAAAATATAGTTATAATCCCTACCTTGGGTAAATACGGTATGAAAACTCTGTTGCCTGTTTCATAATACTCTATCAACGGAATAACAAAATTAGTACACTTTTATATTTTCCGCTAAACGCATACATAATGTCATATACGTATTTCGTATAATAAGTTTACTCAGGGATATACATATATATACGTATATTTCTTTCTTATTTCATGACTCAATTACCCAACGTTTCCGTTATGTGTTACATTTTAACCTCAAGGAAATAACAGTAAAATAATTACATACATTCTCATTCAAGTCCTGACTTTACTTATTCTTTGTTCATTTTTGTTGTTCTTTCTTTGTTTCTATTCTTTTGATACTGAGGCAGAAATTATTTTTAAAATTTTTTTTGCAAAGTACACCTACGAGAAATTGCCTAACTATCACGAATCATAGAATGCATCGAGATTTATCTAAATGTATAAACGAATGTTAAAAATATAGCCATATACGGTCTCAGTTTTGATTGCTTATTAATTTATCCCTTTCGAAAGAATCCTTTAACACTAAATACTTTCTCTTTTTTCCTTTTAATTAACAATAATATTTTAATTAATATTTTAGTGAATAAACTTAATTACTATTAAAAAACGATAGGCCTATGTACATAGTTACATTAGCTATAGAAAATGTGCGAAACAAAAGTTAAATGATTAATGAATGAATTCATTTAGCAAAAAGAGTGCAATTATGACTAATCACAGTGGTCACTAGCTGCTAGCGTTAGGAAAGATTTACTCATTTCATTTATCAAAAGATTTCAAAGAAGGCGGTAACGTTGGGTGGACAATGGTATTGATGTAGAATGGTTCTTAATCGATCTAGATAGTTATAGTTATTCAATTAAATAGTGGAGCGATTGTGAACTGAAAGATTTTATCAAGATAACTGTGCGTTCAATAAGCTCGTAGGATGACATAAAGATGTAAAAGGACTACTTAGCAAACCGTATCGCTTTCAAACGCTATTTGTAAGGTAACGATCGGACTTGGATACACTTCCTTTGCAGTTTATCACATTCCAAAAATCGTATGAGTTTGTCAACAGTGTTGCCATATTTGTGTCAGACAGGAGATTTATCAACAGAGAACGTGAAAATTGATGCACAAAACACACGTATATTAGCTATGGAAAGAAAATTGTTTCCATTGCATTTATGTCTTGGCTTAAAGATAGAACGCAAATATTTAAAGGATTCGTTTGTGTAACATCCAAAAGGATTTGACGCAGACTTACTTTTATTATAGCGAATGCCTTTGTAAATTGATCCAAGTTTGTCTGTTCGTCTATCCATGAGGGTTTTTCTTCTGTTGAACCCATAGGCTGCAGTTTTTGAGATATTTTAACGTGCTTTGGTTCATTGACAAACGCTATTGAAAATGGTTCGGAATGGACTATTTTTTCGACCATTTCCCCTAAATAGCGTCTCAGTTTGAGATGTCGTTGCGTGGACATCTGCAGGGTGATACACGATATTTAATGGTGGGCCGTGACCCACCATAGTTCTTTTATTGGTTGTCTATTCATTACACATTGATGCCTGGCCTGTGAAGCTACGGCAAATTATTTCACTTTCATCACGTTTCAATTTTTCAAATATGATCGAATACTAAAAGAAATCGTGCAAAGATTATCTTAAGGTTTTCTCTTTCATTTTTATAAAAATAATCGTTTTAACAAGATTTAATAATAATATAATTAATAATATCTTAAATTTGCATTTTTTTTTTTTTTTTTTTTTTCATGTAAAACTACACAAAATCGCGGAAATATGATTTCATTTAAAATTCGTTTAAATGCTTATGCTAAAGATATAAATGACTTACGTAATCAATCAAGCCACTCAACAAAGCATTTTTTTTTTTCATTTTTTGCCTCGATGTAGACAACAGTGAGACAGACAATAAGAGGCAAATGTCTGGCACAAAATCTTTGTGAAAACTATAACGCACAGCTGCATCTTACGGTGGTGCGTTATTGTATTTATTTATTTATTTATTTTTTTTTGTTTTTATTTTTTCATTTTTGCAGAAATGGAGCATAAAAATGTGTGGCAGACAATTTATGCAACGCATACTTTCTTATTTCATAGCGATTAACGGAGGGACTTTGCCTTTCGATTTACAACATCAACAGATATATTTCAGATATCATGCGATACGCCTTACGGTTTAGTCACCAATGAAATCCAATTAAATTTTTTGCTGATTCGTTCCCGGTTGTTGTCGTTGAAATAAACTAAACTAGGAATTCCTAAAGAACGTATTTGTCATCGAAATCGACAACAATTTTAGCTTAAAACGTTAAGAGAGGGAAAATTTCTATTCTGCTCTCGTGCTTCACGAGGAATTTATAATAAAATTTCTTATGAGAAATAATCATAAACTGTTGAATTTAGTGCACATGGTAACGAGACGGAAACTATACTCAGCTTAAATGCTAACTCTTGACACTGACAATTGTATAACACAATGAATTCATTTTGAATCTGGAGTTGCTGTGGTAACTAGGTGAACTTTTTAAATGATCAGGGACATAGGTGTAGAATATCTACTATTTGCGCTAAATCTTCGCACATATTTTATGATAACGCAAACATTATATTATATATTATAACGTAAGGGTAAAATTTATTACACATATGAAATAGTAGTAGATCTCCTACCCTCAGGCCTTTGCACCTAATAGTTAGAATTAATAGATATATAGGTAGAAGCACAACACCAGTAAGGGTATTCAAGTTGAACGAGAATACACAATGAATCGGTCTATGCCAGTCAAAAATTTAATCATTACATTTAGAAACATTTGGCCCATTTAAAGATTACCTTTGACGTAAGTATAAGTAAATAAAAAAGCAAGGAGGCTTAAGAAGCGGGAAAGCTTGGACGCCAATTATGTATGGCTATGCTTTTAGTGACATTTTGGAGATTTGGCTTGAAAATATAAGTTTGTTAAACTTTGAACTGATCAATAACGAGAAAAAAAGAGAAATAGATCGATAAGCCGTTGTCCTTGCTTTTTTCCTATTCCTGATAAGCATTTGTGAGAAGAGACCTTGTCATAGGTCAAACATGATGTTTTGGAAATTTTAAATTCAAACCTCATTTTCCTATCAGGATTTCTCGCTGCCCTCCCCCGCCCCCCTACCCATTTTTATGAATTCTGCAAAAATAAACCAATAGACGGACAAGTGGCGAAAGGTGAATAGGAGTGCACTTATCATGCGTACGAATATTTTTATTTTTCCTTTTTCTTTCTTTTCTACACACTATAATGTATATAATTTTTAATTTAATGTCACTTATACGCCATGCAGCTCTTTTATGCATATCTACTCGTTGCGTTGTACTGTGCAATAAATTAAATTTTGTTACAGCATTTGCATTCCATTTTACCGTTGACGGCTGGCCGCCGCTCACTTCTTTAAGTCAAATATGTAAATATTTATTTAATTCGATTATATTAAATTAATTTTTAAATAGTATTATTATTATTATTATTATTATTATTTTTTTTTTTTTTTCTTTGTTTTTGTATTTTTGCATATATCTCGTGTTAATGTTGTCTTTAATTTTTCAATTTTATTTGTAACTGATACTCTCTCGCTTCATTCAATTGTTAGCTAATGATTAGTCCCATCAGTTGTGTCTACACGTTAAATGTAAACAAGTGATGTTGTCACATGAGTGTTGTAAGTACAAATAAATAAAAATTTCGTTATGAATATTTAAATACACATAAAACTGAAGGCATGACTGAAAGGCTGTCAAATATTTTGACACGCATGACAATTTGTTGTTAACGACTAAAATGTTTGCTTCACTTTAATGTAATTTCGTTTTATTTTCACTCAAATAAGCGTTTGCCTAAAAGTTGAAATCAGAAAATCAATATGTGTATAAAAGTAAAAATTAGATTTTTTTGTTTAAATTTTTAAACAGCAAACGAATAAGTGGTAATAGTTCTTTGTAAGCAGAAGAAGACAAAAAAGATCGAATGAAAAAATTATATACTATCGGTAACGAATCCTAAATACGGCTCGAATTTCATATATATATATATATGCATATATAATGTGCTCACAATTTTCGACAACTGGTGTTTTGTAGTTAATCATTAGCTATCCTTATGATGACCGTTCGCTATAAATTTATAATATTTGAAGAGTTTTTCTCATTGTTACAAGCGAAGTAACGACTTTATTATACCGTCATCGTTCGACAGCAAGTATAACAAGAGACAAAATCATGCAAGACAATACTCACAACATCCTTGACCCATATAAATACGTACTAGCTAAAGAAATTTATGAGTAATAAGACGAAAACATATATATATATATATATATATATATATATACATGTATTGTGTTTAAAAATTTATAGCATAACACATAATACTCAAGGAACTTTAGATGATAATAAACAGTATGGACATGATATGTATGCATATATTGATATATGTTTGTGGTTGTGTTGTTGTGTGCTCTAGCTAAACGGCAACTGGTAAGATTTTTTTTGTTTAGTATAAACATATATAGGCTCACTGTGGTGTGTTTACGTTATGCAGTATTTTCAAGTTATTGCTCAGCCCCCGATACTTTTCCTCTCTGTCACTTCGTCTTGCTACGTGACACTATTGTCGCATCATATTTAAAATTCTTTCATGTTAGCCCCAAAAAGCCTGGGGACGTAACCGAATACTACAGCCATTGTTGCTTACATATGCTTACACATTCCTTTATGTCTCTTACTCTCTGTCTCTTGGTTTGTTTACATGTCGGTACACACAAGCAAGGCCAGAGAATGTCATGCCCTCCTATGTTACATAGTAATAAAACTGTTCATACACATTTTCATAAATAAAAAATTTGGTTTTTTTTTCTTTTTTCTTTTCAGTTAGCGTACGCTTTTTTCCCCAAACTTGTTGCATTAACAACATGAAACAACACATTATTAAGTACACAGTGTTTCCTATTATTTGATGTCATCGTCATGACGTCAGCATATTCAAACATCTTATATGGTATGATAAAAATGCAGGGTATGTACTTACAAATGGGTAACGGAACTTGTAACTTCATTAAAAAAATAAAAAAAAAATGCAATAAATTTTATAGAAAAAGTTGATAGAGGGAAGAGGGAAAGACAAGCATATGGTCATCTTATGAAACATATGCCATTAATTACTATAGCAGAGCAAAGTCATTACAGAAATTTGATCAGTGGCAAAAGGCTTCCTCATCAATCAAGACATTCAATTAGACGTTGAAGTGAGAAGAAAAAAAAAAGAAGTAACTTGAGATTTTTCTATCTTCTCGACATAGTTAAGTTTTCATATTAGCATCAGAGAAGTTAGGCATGTACAAGCCTAAGCGAATTATTTTATAGCCATCATTTAAACTATATATGTAGCTGTTAGTGTTGTTCTTTTACGAGAATAATTTGGCATTTTAATGAATTTGAGCGTTTCAATAGGCCTGCTTATCGTAAACGTCGAACGTCATCCAAAAAAAAAAAAACATAAATTCATTCATAAATATTTCTGCAGTTGTGATTGAAGATTTGCTTGTGACTTAAAAACATAGTCGATGTACACAAAAGCCATAGTTTTTTTCCCGATAAGCGGAAATTTGCTCTTAAACCCTATGAAACTGTGAATTATCAAAACGATCCCTCTCGCTATGCTCGCTATGCTAGAAGGTTAATAGATTCCCTTGCTGTCTCTCTAAGCCCATCACATTTTGAGAAGCAATTCATGAAAGCCACGCACTTCCCCAACATCTTGTATTCCTTGTGCAGATTGCCAAATTGAGCAAGTACGGCAAGTTCGCTTCGTAACAAAGTCACTGAGGCCATCTTAATAAAATTAACATTGCGATGCGTAAGGCTTGAGTTTCACGTTGCTGACATGTCATTATCGTTCGACAACGGTCTTCAATTTGACAAGATTTTCTATTTGCTCGGCGACGAAAATTTTTGCATAAAAATAGCTAGAAAATGCTTTGAGAGACGGAAGGTATCTAAGGACTGCGCATAATCATTAGCAACATTTTCGCATATAACCGCTTCATCCGCTGGTCTTAAATCAGTAATCCAACGAAGAATTTCCCAGCGCTTTCCTTAACGGATGACTTTAGAGCTACGTAACTGTGACGACACTTACCGCATGAAGCCGTACCACGGCATGTGTGAAAAATGTTGGTTGGTTTTTGTTCGTGAAATTCTTCAAAGAACTGAGGAAGGCTGTCACATTTCAAGCTAATCTTTGACCAGAAAATACATTTTGAAGTAAGATAAGAAGAAGCTCAATATTTTTATGATATCAAAAATTAAATGCACAGAATAACGCAACGAAATCGTGATAGTAGGCAACACCGTGCGCTAAAAATCGTGGCCAAAAATAAGCGACGCTGCACAAGGGGCCATAAAGCCTGCATTGGCGCCAGATGGAGAGGGATTCTCGACTGTCACCAATCAATAGCAAGGTCATCGTCCATAGTCTGCCAATGGCAGGCCAGAGACACTTTTAATCACTTGAGTTCGTTCGCTACAGGACTCGTTTGGTAGTGTAAACTTGATCTCAAAAGGTGCTTGATTTAACTGTTTTTGATGAAAAAAAATTGCTATACATTTTTTTTTCTTGATTCAATTGATGAATGCACGACCAAGTCGAATTTTCCACAAGGCCTTTAACAGTTTATTTATCGAAACAATTAAAAGAAATTGCAAATTAAGCTGGAAGATGCCGTGATTTAGTATAAATTATGAGAGAGAAAAGAGTGTTGCGCAAATTATGCGCATCGATTAATACTTAAACGATAAGCTGTGACATAAAACAAAAGCAGAAAAACTGAGAAGACCTCGGTAGCAGTGGAGGAGAAATTGAGTTCGTGTTTTAAACAGGAGATACGTGGGGATAGACGAGACCAGAGATACTTGATATTCTTTGCGTAGAGGATTAAAAACGTTTTGTTGCTTAACTCGCTTAACGTTTAATTTGGGTTTAGTAAGCTGCGATTAAATCAAACTCAAATTTAGCAAAATTCGATGTGCTTATAGAACGGGTTTAATATCCTTAACATTGCCGGGCATTTAAATTTTTTTTTTTTTTTAATAAAAAATGACTTTAGATTTACTTACATTTCTCGAGACTGGCGTTGCAAAATTTCAAAGCATCGTCCAATAAATTCAAATGCATGTAACTGGCTGCGGTTTCGTTAATTTTTTTAGCCTGCAAATCTGAACCCCACCATTTCTCTACTAAACGTCGTACAAGCACATCAGGCATAAATTTCATGCTTTCATTAGAAGTGGTTGCGGTACTGACCATACCATTTGCTCTGGCCGTTGAAGCCATTGTTGTGGTAGGCGTATCTGTTGTTGAGGCTACTGTCGTGGTGGTAACCGTTGTAGGCGATGCAGGCGCACTTAAGCGTAGGCGTGATTGAGTGGTGTTGGCTGGACTACCGGCAACTGGAAATGAAGGATTTGTTAAAGATGTGGCACCCAAAAAGCCAGGAGCATAAACATAAGATACATGACCGCCATTATTATTGGTACTAGTGGTCATGGTGCTGGCCGTTGTCATAGCTGTAGCGGTAGTGCAATGTTTCAATATCGTTGTTTCATTTCCGCAATCATCTCGCTGATATTTGGAAAATTTAATGTGGCATATGTTACACATGGTAATAGTTTCACAGCATTGACGACAAAATGTATGACCACAATTGGTGGTGACGGGTGAGCGTAAAATGTCTCGACACAAAGGGCACAATAGCGGATCATATTCCTCACTGAGAAAGGGACTGGAAACGCGTGAGAGATCTCTTAACGGGGAATGCAAATTATAAGCGGTATCTTCCTCTTCAGTACCGCCAAATGCAGGCATGTGGGTCGTTAGATTGCTGGCAATAATCTGCCATCCTTGCGTTAGCAGACCAGGATTTAAAGACTTATTGCTTTTTGAACCGTTATTGCCTAACTTATGATCATTTGTTGTCTTTGTAAGCGTAACGGTCGCTGTTATAGGATCCATTAATTCAATTTCGGAGTGCTCAGCTTTTCTGGAATTTAAACACAATGCACGCACATACTCGATAAGTGCTGTAGCCAATACATGCAATTTTTCCAAGGGTATAAAACCCTCCGGCTGTTCGCTCGCAATTAACGCATACAAATTAAATGCCTCTTGCAAACGACCATGACGCGCCAAGGATTCGCCCAACAGGTAAGAAAGCTGTAAATTATTTGTGGTTTGTCCTTGCAAGAATTGATTTGTCAATTGCGATGCGGCGCTCTGCCCACAACGGTCACCCATATTCTCGCTTGCTCTGCGAGCCTTCTTAGCAACCGTTGGCATCGATGATATAGCGGCCATAGTTGTTGCTGTGTTCGGGCTATTTAATCGCATCGATTTCAGCCCACGTTTACTGGCTATGGCACCTTTAACATAAAATCCCTGCGACAGTGGCATGATGCTGTCCCTTGATTTGCAAAGCAACACTTGTGTCTGATCGCGTAAACAATTTTTGATATTTCTGATTTGATTAACGACAGGCAAAGTGCAACTCGCTGGCTTTAGATTAAAGCGTAGGTTTTCTTGTGGTAATCTTTTCAAATTCTCTTTGATTAACGTATTGGCTAAGGGAGCAAAGTGGGGAGCAGTTGTTTCACTACGTTTACAACTAAGTTTACAATTCAGCAGTTGTTTGTGGTGTTTTCGTTTCTTTTTAATTTGAAATTGCTCGGTGGCACTCTTTGACATTATTCTACTTTCAGTGCACAAGAAAAAAATTTCTTTTCTTTGCTAATAATTTCTAATTTAACGAAAATTTTTGGAATATATTTTTTAAAACATTTTCAAGGCATTTAAAAAAAAAAAAAACAAAAAACAAATTCAATTCTTTTGCAACATTTTTTTCCTTTTTTTTTTTGCTTTGTTTTGCTTTGTTTTGCTTTTGTTAATAATAAAAATATTTTCTATTTATTTATCTGTTCTCACTTTAGAATTTGCAATTTTTTCGCTGCTTTTTCTTTTCAATGAATCTTACAATTGCAAGCTTTGACAACATCCAACGTTGGCTTCAACTTTCTTTCTGGCTATTTAGTGATGAGTGATTTTCTGTGAGAAATAGAGAAAAAAAAAAAAGAAAAAAGGAAATGTTAGAAAGCATTGCCTGATTGAATAGAAACTTTTACGTAATGTTAAAACTCAATAATAAAACACTTCTTACTGAAATCTTTGGTGAGTGTTTCCACACTGACACAGCAAACTTTTGCTTTGTAACATGCTGCACTAAAACAGCCATAGACTCTTTATTTATTTTTTTTTTTTTTGCATGCCATTTCGACATACTGCACAAAACATATCACAAATCTCTCATTTCTCTTCTGCATATCTCTCTTTGTTAAGGTTTTCTATCTAGCTGTTCGTATAAGAGCATGAAGAACGAATTTTTTTTTGCAAATTTTTGTTCTTTTTTTTAATTTTAATTGGCTGAACACTCACTCTCTTAAGCACATGCTATTATTATCTAATGTTTCTATTTTCTCTTCTCTTGCGGGCATATTGAAATCTTAATCTTATATAATGTATTGTATTGAATACGTCCGCAGAGTATGTCAACTTTTTCGTCGTCAGAAGCAGGATTCAAAGATTTCGTAATAACAAGAAATAAGTTTCGTAAGGCGCCTAATTAATTCCCCATTCCAAATAATCGAACTAATCGCTTATTTTCTAAACTTTGCTGATATTTGAAACTAAAATTTTTAACCTTTTTGGCGAAGAAAGAGTAAAACTGACTTTAACATAGATAATAATACATCGATAAAGATTAGTCCATTAGATTAGATTTCTCCTTATGGCAAAATACTTATGAATTGTAAAATTTTCATCAAACCCTTAATTTCTGAGTAATGTCGTTCATATTGCGTGAATTGTAATCATAGCTTAATGCTACAGAGGCAGGCTAGACCCAAAATATTTTCATCATGATAACAAATCTTATCAAGTCAATATTCGTACTCGAGATGATGTACGTCTTAGGGATTTCGTGTTTTCATTAGTCTGATTCAGTTACCTTCTCAAAACGGTTATTTCTTGTGTCGTAATAGGCTTACAATTATTTCACAAAATTCAATATACATTTAAAGTACAATCAGTTCATTATCTTGGTTATTGGGTCAAAATCATTGAAAACCATTTATTTATAAGAATGCCTACGAATGGGTTAACACACTTTCTAACCCTTCTATTTGATTCGTACGCATTGCAAAAATACTTTATCTAAATTTCTTTGGGGCGTAAGCAAGGAACATTATACTTTTAAGAGTCTTTTTTACTCATCAAAAATCAAACAAACACTATGTACAACTAAATTAATAGCTGAACGAGTCTAATAACGTCCCCTAACTTTTGGTGAGATTTTCGAAATTGTAAAACGGCTGGAAGCTTAAGTAAAGCGACAGCAAACATAAGAATAAATTTACTTAAGCGCCCCCCGTATAAGTAAGAATACTTTGACTTGGTCGCAGGAGGGTTGAAATGAAAATGAGTATAATTCCTCTCCAACTTGGTCTTGATGGGAAGGAAAGCTGTACTGCAAGTTCGATAAGTTGAGACCTACAGCAGAAATAGATCCCAAAACTGGCCCGAACTTTTAGTAGGATCTTAAAACACATTTATGGCTGACTAATTCTTACGGCCTATTATACGAAGTACAGGGGTTAAGAGATATACTTATTTTGCAAATATTGCTTTTTCTCTTTTGTGTTTTTTTGCGTCTTTGCATTGCATTGTCAATGCTGGAGGAAATCAGTTCATCAGTTCACAGAAATCAAAAGCCTGCACAAAATCAACCAGATCCAAAGTAGTCAATTTCGTATATGGACATTTTCATCATATATAGGGCAAGGAAGTAAGATAAGTCCAGAGGATTCAAATATGTCTTATCTGTCCCATGATTCAACATTTCGTACCGTAGTAGTACAGTTTATCAGAAAAACTGCAAGATATCCAAACAACAATTTTCTTACTCAATCGTAGTACGTAGTGCGAGTACCACTACGTTTGGGCACATCCATCACTACAGCACAATCAAGCGCTTGTCCTGATTGTCTGTTGTGCATTGGAAATGATTGAATGAATGGCGCGTGAAAAGAAAGGAAATTGTTGGAGTTATGTCGCTTGAGTTTCGAGAAAAACACACTCTAAAGTGTCTACGTATGTTGCCGCACTAGAAAGAACGAAATGATTTGATTTTTGATTATTTTTTTCTATTGTTCTGGACAAGTTAGATAAGTTAGTCCATTTATGGCACAAATGGAAAAATTGAAATTCTAACAATTATCCAGAGTTTTATTCTTGAGGTAAATTAAGAGAAAACTAAAATTGCATGCGCTGTAATGACATTGTGCAGCACGTCGGTCATTTCGATTGAATATTGTAAACTATTTATGTGTTTTTGTAACAAAAACTCAATTCTCAAAAATTCTTATTATTTTATAGGAATTGAACCACATTAAGACAGGCAAAAACAATGCAATGAGACAAGGCCCGCTGTTAAATGCCCTACACCAGTTCGCTTCATTCAGTTATTCATGTGGAAATTTGCTAAACGAAAAAAAAAAAAAAAAACATTTTGAATAGTGTTCGTCCTTGAGTCAAAAAAACACGTCAGTATACCAAGTTTCATTAAAATATCTCAAAAATTGCGGCCTATAGGTTGAATATAAGAACACTTTGCCGGCAGACGGACAAATACGCTTAAATCGGAATTGGAATGTGATTCGAAATCGATCGATATAATAAAAGGCAGACTAACATCAAGTTCTTCTGGTTGTTTCATATATTCGCACTAATCTAATATAAACATTTTAAGAACAAAGATAGGAAGCTAAGCGTTGAAGTGCGCATTGTATCCACAAACTTTAACACGTACCAAACCATAAGAGACATTGATTGGAAATGAAACATTATAAGATTAGAAGAGGTCATAAAATATGACTTTGAGTTTGATTATCTACCTCCTGTAAGTTAAAGGAGCAGCTCTTCACCAAAATACGTTGATAAAGTTGATAAAGTCATTTGTCGTTGGGAGCAAGAAATTGTAGATAAGATATAAATAACATGCATACGTAGCTGTAAAATAAATTACAATTTTCGCTAAAGTTCCAAAGAGATATTGAATTATTAACGGATGTAATGTAAGTAGGATTTTTTAATGATCTCGATCATTAAAGCACGTAAGACAGCAAATTTATATTCGATTAACACATGATTAGCCGAGTTAATGGTTTTGTTCCGTCTGAGTTGTTGATTAGATTAGTCCATTAGATAATATCCTTATATATACTTGGAATTCCATTTGCCTCATCCTTAGTGATCAATGAATGTCTTTCTTTCATAAAATTATTGACAGGTAGATGAGGTAGTTTTCTCAAATATTTTCATCGCTTCTTATTTTGTAATAAATCTTTTGATAATCAATTAAATATTTTTTGCATTGATAAGCAAAAAAAAAAATATTTTACATTTTAAATGGAATATAACAATATGTGCATACACATGCCAACAAGTATATATATGTAGTTAGTTGTATATAAGAGAATCACAATAAAAGGCGACTACTTTGTGTTGTTTGCGTGCGTATGTGTGTGTGTGTGTGTGTGTGTGTTTCTGTGTACTTGTGCTTGTGTCCGTGTTACGTAAAAACACAACAATTCTAATAAATTGATTTCATAACAACAGTTCCAGGTACAAAAGTACGCAGTAAACCCAAATACTGTTATTTAAAACCGACGACAATAACAAAACAGTACAAGGCGAACTGAAAGGAAAACAAAAACAATATAAAAAAAAAGAAATCATTATTATTATTGTTCCATTTTATTAACAAAACACTCTACTGGAACATACACAAGTGGTCGCATACAAAACACACGCACACATTCTTATTATTATTATTATTATTATTATTATTATTATTATTATTGCATAATATGAAAATTAACACTGAATCACGTAGGCACACATCAGAAAAATATCAACCGTATATTTTATTTGTAAGTACGCTTTTGTTGTTGGAATAGCTGGTGTTGGCTTTTTGATATCAAACAAGAAATGAGAAACGAATAATACAACCTACTAAGCACTATGCCTACGGTGGTAAAGCGGCCGAGATAGAGAGAGACAGAAATAGAGAGAGGACGAGAAAGAGAGACTAAGAATTTGTTGTGTGCCTTGTTCTTATTTATTCTTCGTTCTTGTTTGTTTCGTGTTTGTATAGCAAAGTTAAAACAAAAAAATAAAAAAACTTAAACGACATAAAATTAATCATACCAAGTCCAACTTGTTTGTTTTGTTTGAATCGAAGAAGATCTCACACTTCACCTTACCAAGATTACTCTTTAGTAATCAATCTGTCTTTCTCACTGTCTCGCCCGCCCGTCCCATCATCACCTTTACTCCTTTCAGAAATGTTTCTTAGCGTTTGCCATCAAATTACTGCCACTCGATAAAGTATTGGTTTATAGGCGAACAAGAGAGCAAACTGAACACTGTTCGCTGAGAGACAAGCAAATCAAAACTAATGCTAAATGATTTTATTTTGTTTTCCCATTTTTTACTTTGTGTTTTTATGTTTTCATACAACTTTTGCACGTTTTTAGTTTTAAGATAAAAAAAAAAAAAAAAACAACAACAACAACAACAACACAACAACAACAATACTAATAATTGTGCCGGCATTTAGAGCTGCTGCTCCCGCAGCAGCAATAGAAGCGATGTACTCAAGTGTGTGGCATCTATCTTGTGCTGTGTTGTGCTAATGTGTTTTTGCTTTTTCGCTATTTTTCAAACTTTTGTTATGTAAACAAAAATTTTATTTATTTATTTATTTATTTCTGTTTTTTTTTTTTTTTTTTTTTTGATTTTTCACAAAACGTGTAAGTTTTTTTATTTACTAAGAATTTTTTTATCATTATTAGGTTTTTTCATTTCAAATAGGAAATAAAAATTACAATTTCATAAAAATTCTTTTGAAAATTATTCACAAGTTTTCTTTAAATTAAGTTTATTTATTCGAAAATGTTACTTTTATAGACCACTGCATCCGAGTATGC